CCCATCACCACCTCCGCTTCCACCGGTGGTGATGTTGACGAACGGGTTACCACACCACCGCTGGCCGCCGCTGGCCGCCGCCGCCCCGCCACGGCCCCCGTCCCCTATAACCCTAGCGATAAACCCATGTACGCCACAAAACATCCCGGCGAACAAGGTGGCTCAGGACCCCACATTACGGGTTTCGGCAACTACAGTGTTTCGGTATGCACCACGAGGAGAGATTCGAGTTGTCGTTGTGGGTGCAGAACACTCTCTGCCACGAAACAACGTGTGTGCTTGCGCAGGCCTCGTAAAAAGCAAGCACAAAAGCGTCACAATTCTCTATGAATGCGAGCATCATTTCTACGGCAGGGGCACGTCAAAAATGCCGGCAGCGCGCGTTACGACGTTCACGGCCAAGAGGGGCACCGCAGAATCAGATTTCTCGAATCATCATGGGCGCCCGTAAACTCGTGTCGCGAGGGGGCCGGAGAACCGAAATTGGTCTGGCTGGGCGTCAATATCGACAAGAAAACAAGACAAGAGTTGAGTGTCCGAGCTATGCACATCTAACCCAACCGTGCTTCCAGGTGGACAACTGGACTACCACGTGATGCACAAAGTACACACAACACTCCACAATCGCGCGGCATTCGCTCCAGGCGGCCACATACACCGAACGCCTCTGCTGGGGTAAAAAAAAAGGCGTCCTTTTTCCGACTCGCGTTCGGGCGTCTTCGAGGGACGTTCGCGACTTCGTGAGATTCATCTCCGAGAGTTTTCGAGATGTGAGTGCGAGCTGCAGGGCTTACCCTTGTGCCTACTTTTCCACCAAAAAGGGGCTGATATTGTCCGACACGATAATAGAGCGGGTTCAAAAGTTGGACCAGGGTTCGATGGAGTTTCACAGATGCCAAGAACAACACTTCCCAAAATACTGCCGCGAAAGTGGGAAGGGTGAACCGCAAAAACGTACCGCGGTATGTACCACAGATCACAAATATACTGCAGGTAGGACCATTCCACCAAAGGTAGCTGATCGGAGGTAGTGATGAGAGGAGAACAAACAACGGTTGGCACTGGCTTTGCTCTTGTGTGAAACGAGTGGATTTTTTCGGTGGAGAGATTGAGCATGTCCTCGTCGGGTGTGGAACCTCTCCCCCGCTGTACCAACAATGTCAAACAAGGCGTAGATATCAACTTGAGGCTCTTTGTCGTTCGTTGGATTCACCCTATCGAGCACGCTGGGGGGGGGAGCGTTTGTGCAAGGAGTAGCAAACAAGAATAGACCACAGGAGGAGGGAGGACTGTGAGCAAGTTGTACATACCAATACCGAAAATGTCGGAGAGATGGCTTCCCCGTGTTAGCGTTTTGCCGAAAAGGGTACCAGTATTAGTTTCGGAAACATCTCGCAGAGGGCTTTCCTGAGAGGTTTAGAACGCTCTTCGCACCCTCCTAGTTGTGGAGAAAAACGCTTTGAAAAAACGCGAAAACGGCTGTGCCGTCTCTCCGACTCTTACGGTATGTACAAATCGCAAGACTTCTTCGGGTTGTGATGGGTGCTGTGTATTCGGCTACGGACGGTCATCGCCTGCACCAGAGAGGAGAGAAGGCCGTCAGCAAACCATTAGATACGACAAGAGGTACATCGTACCCCCTTTGTATTTTCCTTCGGGGTGTGCTTCTGCACTCGGCCAAAAGCTCAACCCCGCAGGGAGCGGCCAAACACGGCAATATGTTATTATTAAGTCTTGGCGAGGTGAGCCTCGCCAAAGGGTGTGCTCGGGTACTCTCAGACAATTAACACGGGCCAACAACGAAATTGGGTGGTTTTGGAAAAATCGGGATTTCTCGAGAGGTTCCCTTGCACGTGGTGCACGTATGATAGCCGTCGGGGTTCAAGCCCTCTCTTGAATGCTGCTGTACTGTACCTGTACGGAACGAGCAAGAAACCTCTGAAATTCAGTCTAAAATAGGGGTGTACGGCTATACGCGTGCGGCCCATGTTTGTTTCTCGTCTCTTGCGGTTGGTTGTCTTGAGACCATCGAAAGGAAGCCGTCCGACCGACGGGAAAGGGGGACCCACGGATAAAAATTAGACAAGCACAGCTATCCACCCCCCCCCCATGTTTTTCGTGTTCTTGGTTGAGGGGTCTTTTGAATAGGATTTCGTGCGGTCATGGTAAAAAACAAAATATTTTACATTGCAGAGGCTAAATAGACGACACCCGGAATGGGGGGCGACGGAGGGCAGCAAAGACACCCGGTAGGGTAACGCTGAAGCATCAAGGGAGGCAACGGTCCACGAGCATCCGTACATCCATCGAGATGGTCCTAGTCGACAGGGCTCCATCCAAGATACACGCATGCTTACGTTTCGTCAAAAACACGCACACGCAGAGCAAACGTAGCAAAAATTCAAACCCCATTCGCTCTGGAAGCGACGTGGACCCTCCCCAAACACGCCCCCTCTAGGGCACAACTATCACAGCATAAGACTGCCAGCAATACATGCACAGATAACTTGGGATGGTTTGCGGGGATAATGGCAAAGCACAACACCCGCCTGGACGAAACATGTTGATGGATTGACTGACTGGTGCTTCTAGATACCGCCGATCGTTTTTGGATGCGCCTTGGGGTTGATATCGTGAGGGCATGAAATAGGTACGGGAGTCGAGACGGGAGGGGCAACGGTGACCCACTGGACTCCCAATCACAGCCGTGGGCGGAATGCGGGTGGGGCGCACTGGAAGCATCGAGGCAGTAAGTAACCTTCGCAGGGTTGTTCGATTAAGTAAACATGTTGGATAAAGCATGCAATCGGGGGAGTTGGGTAAGGGTTAGGGATAGGGTCTGCGTAACCCTTTCCTGTTCTATTTCCTCACAAAACTCATTTCTCGCGAAGGCGGTCATATCAAGGGGAAGTGCATAGCACACCACACACACACGTGCTCATCAGCGACAGACAAGGACATGGGCACCGGACTGAGCGATTGATCGATCGCCAAGGCTGTGGCCGTGGCACGCGCCGCTCAATACCGGCGAACCCACCCTCGTGCCGGGACCCTACTCTACATCGGCGGCGAGCAGGACTCAGCAGCGCCAAGAGCCGCGACAATCAGGACCCTTGTCTTGTCTCATAATGGTAAAGGGTCAACTGCCATCTCACTTTTATCTATCCACGCGGCAAGACACGCTCAGACGCGTCACAGCCAGGTAGTTGGCTCCCCACCACCGTACGGTATCCCAGGCCAAAACGACGGGTGCAAAATAGCGTGGCTCCGCTTGTGGCAATCGAAAAGACCCCTCCCTTCTCTAGGTATTGTGCAACTCGAAAGGCCACCTCCACGGGACAAAAAAGATTTACCCTACTGCAGGATCTACCACTAAACTCTCAAACGCACACCTCTCAGTTGTAGCAGGCCGGTAAACTCGGGGCAGGGGCAGAGAGGAAAGCGTCTCTACCCGCTCCCGCCCCGACCGCCTACTGTAGACAAGCAAAAGCAAAAACCGAACACCCCAACACAGGGAGGCGTTTTGTTTCACGAAAACCGAACAAACTACAAGGAGGCATTTTTTTCGCTGCGCTCACCGCCAATATTTTGGAAGCTGTAGATCCGCCGGACCCCGCCCCGCCGCTGCCGCTGCCACCGCTGCTGTCTCGAGAAGCGCCGGCCATGCGCGGGTTGATGCTGGTCGGCGCGTGGTAGTAGTAGTAGTAGTCGCTGTCGACTGCCGAAGCGTCGGGTGCGAGTGGGGCAACCCCCCTCCGCGCCCAGCCGTCCACCTTCACGAGGCGGAAAAGTGAACACCAGAGAGAAGCAACATCAAACACACGGAACAGTGTTGGGGGGGGGGGGGGGGGGGGCCATTGGGAAAAGGCTTTTTTAATCCCCAAAACCTCCACCCCCGGGGGGGGGGACCCAAAAAACCAAATTGCCCCCCCCGGGTTTTGGGGAAAATTAAACAAAAATTTTAAACCCCCGAAACCTGGAAAAAAAAACAAAAAAGGGGGGGGGCTACCCCAAACAAAAGGGGAGGGTTTTTTTTTCTTT